TGTCTCTCTCTGTTTCTGTCTCTTTATGCTTCTGTCTCTCTCTCTGTCTCTGTGTCTGTCTCTGTCTCTCTCTGTTTCTCTTTATGTTTCTGTCTCTCTGTCTCATTCTCACCCTTTGTCTCTCTCTGTGTCTCTGTCTCTCTGTCTCAATGTCTCTTCTCTGTCTGTCTGTCTGTCTCTGTCTCTGTCTCTCTTTCTCTCTCTTTTTCTCCCTCCCTCCCATTAGACTGCTGTCTAAGGTCAACTTCAGAATCTCCCAGAAGACCAAACCATTGTACAACCCTATACAGCTTTTTGTTGGCTGGTCTACACAATTGAGTATGCTGGTAAATGTTCTGAAGAAACAAGTACCCACAACACACTTTTAAGTTTATTTTGCATTATTAACATTTTTGTATCACTTTCATAAATCAAAACGATCAGCAAAACAATAAATCAATCCCAGATTTGTAGCATTTGCCAACTTCCCACGTATAAATACTAATACTGAAAATTTAATGATTGGGTGAACCCCTTGGAATTGACTTTATCACACCCCTGAATTAACAGTGTTTATCATAGTGTGTAACTTAATAGGAGGTACTTAATAAATGTTTATTTGCTCACTGACTGACTTGACTAAGTGTTTGTCTCTTGGGAGCTGGAGTAAGATTGGATTGGAAGAATTTAGCTGTTATCATAAAGGGTCCCTTCCTAACCCCTTAACTAAATTTTGTCAATGTGTGTTTTATGTAGTTTGCTTCTATATATTATGATCAGCTGCCTTTATTCATATTCACACAAACAAATTAAGAAAAATATTGGGGTTGTATGGGATACACATTTGATGTTTGATGAATTTACCTTTTTTTAAATCACTTCTTTCAGTCTTTTTTTCTTATTCCTTTACCTCATCTTCATGATTCTTCACAATCAGGGTCTCCAAAGAGTGGCTCCTTAAAAAATGAAGTTTTTTTTTTATGCCATAGCATAGCACTTGCTTATGACTTTTATTAAATTGAATGAGAGCAGAGTGGTTATTATCAGTCACAGTTGGTATAACAAGTCTATGTCAGATGGTCTTGAGTAAAGGTGGTTTAGAAAAAAATTAATAAGCCAATGTAATAAATCTGATTGATTATGCAGTGCTTTATGAAAAAAAGAAAACACTCTGTTATTAGTCAATCAACAAGCATTTATTAAGTGCTTACTCTGTGCCACTGAGCCCTGAAGTTACTTCTACTTCTAGTGTGTCTCTTCTGAAAATGGGAATTGTATTATCAACTGAAAATGCTATTGTTAGTGGTAAAAATATTCATAAAATGATGGCTTAAAATTGTTTAAAGTGTTTTTTAAGTGGAAGTTAGATTTAGGGTGTGGAACAAGTTAAGACAAAGCAGTTAGTGCTTATGGCACATTCCATCAGACCAGATTGTATATTGCCTTAAAATGGTTTTAGGTATGTGAGCTCCAGTGGTAGCTCAAAAATGGTTCCTTGGGGAGAACTGAACATCATGTATGTGCAATCCCACTGCCCTAGGAGATGTGTCTTCAGAGAAGAAAGAATGGATTCTGACAACCAAATAGCCTCATCAAAATACCAGAATTTTTCAGTGTCTTTTTAATGAAGTCTCATTCGAGAGATATGAAAAATGTTGTGCCTAAATTACCCTATTCCTTTCTGGGAGAAAACAACAGGCTTAGTTTGAACTGGCATTTTCTTGAGGAATGTCAGTATATAGTTTTCCATGTGTTGTGTCTGCCAACTGGTGGCCAGACGCTTAAGCAGACTTAACCAATTAGTGGAACATTCCCCCACCCAAACTGAAGGCCGAATTGATTGTTCTTGTATGCTGGGTACTTCACTGTGGCCAGGGCTGTGTTTCTCAAGCACTTAGTTTGAAAGGGGAAAGATCTACCAGGCTGGGCAAAAGAAGTGCCAGTCTTGAACTGATCTGGGTTATTTTGCTGGTTTTGACTTTATCAAACTGCATGAGAGATTTTGTGCCTTGTCTAGTTTCATGTTCATTAAACAAGAAAACACATTTCTTAGTACCATGAATACATCTACTGATATTGATTCAAAGGAAGTAAATTGGTACAAACAATGGAGCCCTGGCATAACATGCTAATTTCCACAGGACAAAGTCAGCTAATGCGTGCGGCTTAGTCCTACATCATACTTACTAGCATATACTTGCCTAAAATGAAAGAATTCAGGAGTCTAGTTTCTCATGGAACCAGCTGATGATGTTCATGATGAAAAGGATGACCTTGGGAAACATGTAGGCATCTGAGAAGGTGAAGTCAGCTCCATGTCAGGAGATGGGATGGCTTAAATCAGGGCTGTATAAAGAAAAATCCACTTAATTCTTACTTTATCTTGCTAGAATATGTCATTTTGAAATGGTAGGGTTTTGGGTTTTTTTTTTGGTGGCAGTGGTAGGTATGTGGTTGTACACGTACATACATGTATGTGTGGTGTGTTTAAGCAGACAGTAGGACTGTTCAAAGCTTAAATCTAGCTAAGTGCCCCAGGTCTTTTAGAATAATGAGACATTTTCTAAATGCACTTTTTTTTTAAATGTACCACTATTACACTACAGAGAAAAAAAGGGGTGGGAGGTGGGAGGGGACTTAACACTTAGCACCTGTCACTAGTTTTCTCCTAGAATTAGAGTCTCTTGCTTATAAAAATTTAATTGATTCCTAGCAGTTTATGTGCGTGGTGCTTAGTGGGAGTTTTCTGTTCTTTTGCCAGCTACATGGTTACTTAGAAAGTGAGCCGCTCACGCTACAGCTGTTCATCGGGACGGCAGACGACCGCCTGCTGAGACCACATGCTTTCTACCAGGTCCACCGGATAACAGGGAAAACTGTCTCCACCACCAGCCACGAAGCAATTCTCTCCAACACCAAAGTCCTGGAAATTCCACTTCTACCAGAAAATAACATGCGAGCAATGTAAGCCTTGTGGACTGGGCCACTTGGTGATTTCAGCAGAGTTGTGTGTCTGTGTGCTGCCTTTTTTTTTCTGACTTTCTCACCGAATCCTCTAAATTTTTTCAGCCTTTAACAAATTTACCAAATTCCAGTGGCCCAGAGTGTCCTTAGCTTAACACCTAAACGAACCTCACAGATATTTATGACAACTGATTTGCTTCTTTCTAGGGTTTCAGTTGCTGTGCTTAATGGCACTTAAAATAAATATCTCAATTACAGTGCTGTAAATATCTCCCACCCAGTTCTTCTATTTAGCAGCTACTAAACATGACACCTAGTTGCTCTTGACTTTGAAACAGTAAAGTTAGAGAAGTCACCTGAATATAGTTTTTTTACTTTAATAATATTTTATTTTTTCCCAATTATATGTAATTTTAACATTCATTTATGTTTTTTTGAGTTCCAAATTCTCTCCCTCCTTCTCCCTTATCCCCTCTTCCTGAGAGGGTAAGAAATTTGATATAGGTTATACATGTGCAATCATGCAAAACATATTTTCACATTAGTCATGTTGTGAAAGAAGACACAAAGCAAAAACCATGAAAAAATAAAGTAGAAAAATAGTATGCTTTGATCTGCAATGAATATAAAAATTTAAAAAACATTATTATCAAGAGAATATTTTCAAATCCTATCTTAAGCTTTGGAAAAATGATTCTTTTGCTAGTCACTCTCTCAAACTTACTCTATTCAGCAGTAAAAGAACAAACCATGCATTGTCGAAATGGTTCCTAATCATATTTGGGGCATTAATTGTACCTCAGTTAATCAGAATTACAGTGAAATTGTCTCTGTTATCTTTACAGGGAATTTATAACTATAAAAATCTACATGTGAAAATCGATACAAAGTTTCCTTAAGTTGGGGAAATTTCAAGTATCTTGTAAATCTTTGACTTGGTTTCTAGTCAGGATCCCAAGATCTGAGATGAAATCAAATGGATTCCGATGACTTTCATATGCTTTAAATGAGTATAGTTGTGGTACTATAAAAAACCAGTTTATTTATCACATTGCCTCAGAGCACTTCAAGATTTTCAGTTGAGGAAATGCTGGATTAGAAACATTCAGAGGTATCTATCTAACTGAAACCCAGATGAATGGTAGTTTCCACTTAGGTGCTTAAAACTTAAGAGGACCCCATTGTAAATTTTCATTTTCCAAAGTCTCAGCTAAGCACTAAGTGTTAAAATAACTGTCAGACTTTTTACTATTATCTCTGATAAATACTATGAGGAAGGAAAAAATATAGTGGATTATTATGGGTCAACACTCTGTAGGATCTGCATTGAAGCTTATTTGAATTGTAACAATATAAGCTGTAAATCAGAAAAATGAGAGATTGAACAGTGCTGCATTAGCTGCTGCAAGCATCACTAGTGCATGTGTATCATGAGATAGTGAAGAATGATTTTAATTCTTTTTTTTTCTACATAACATTGCTAGCTGTACTTTTCACTGTTTTCTCCCCCTACCATAGTTATGTAGTTAACAATTTAACTGTTTACTCATACCAAGTGATGGGGAGAATCAAGACAATTAGGTTTATGATTATTGTTATTATTCCAGTGCTTAGCTCAGTGCCTGGCACATAGTAGGTGCTTAATAAATGTTTATTGAATCACTATGTGTCTAAATTATTCTGCCTAAAAAATAAAATAAAATTGTTTTGCTTGAGAGATGTAGATAAGTGAGCCAAGGTTATTTTGGGGATTGAATTATCTATGAAATTGCTTTAATTATCTGCTTGACTTGGCATGTGTTGATACAGTCTCAGTGTTGCCCTCACTGACTGTTCTGAAATGTCTTTACCTTCAAATATACCTTTTTCCTTTGCCACAGAATATAAAAATAGGTAACTCTCAATGGTACTGGGACACTCATATCACTATAATACCATAATATCTACGGTAGCGAAATGAGTATGCACAACTCCCAGTGCAATTATGGTAACATTATGGTAACATCAGAGGACAGTTCTGAAAGATGAGAGTTTAGAAGTTTTCAACTCTATTATGTCAGAAACTGGAAAAAGTATTAAATGGCCTTTTGTTTTGTTTTGAGCAGTATTGATTGTGCTGGAATCCTAAAACTCAGAAACTCAGATATTGAACTGCGGAAAGGTGAAACTGACATTGGAAGAAAGAATACTCGAGTGAGACTGGTTTTCCGGGTTCATATTCCACAATCTAATGGCAGAACTCTATCTCTACAAGTAGCATCAAATCCCATTGAGTGTTGTAAGTAATTATTCACTTTCCCCCCTTCTTTCTAAGGACTGTATAGATTTTAGAATTTAGTAGGAAGAGACTGTAGAGATAATTTTTTTCCAGCACTGATTAGATGAGGAAACAGAAGCACAGAGACATGGAATCACTTGAACAGTTCATGACAGCAATTTTGCTTTTTTTGTCTAATATCATTCTTTTTTTACATTTGTAAAGTAGCTAGGTGGTTACCAGTCCTGGAGTCAGGAAGACCCTAGGGCAAAATTTGATTTTATATACTTACTAGCTGTGTGACCTTGGGCAAGTCACTTAAACCTCCATTTGTCTCATTTTCCTCATCTATAAAATGGGGATATCACTTACCTCCCAGGGTTGTTGTGTGTGTCAAATGAGATAATAATTTTAAAGCACTTAGCACAGTGCCTGGTACACAGTGAGTATTATATAAATGTTAGCTATTATTTGCCCTAACTTGTTTCTTCAAAAATATATATTTGAGGGTTCAGAGTCACTGAAAAGTATAGTCCATTATTCTGTTAAAAATAATACTTAATCACCTCAGTTTTGATTGTTACAAAGAAACATTTAGTCATGGTATGAGTAAAATTTATGCTTGCTTTAAATGTAGACTCAAACAAGTTCTATATTTTATATAGGTGATGCAGTAGATAGAGTGCTGGTCCCTTAACCTCTTTCTGTCTCACTTTCCTCATCTGAAAATTAGGATAAATATAGCACCTGCCTCTTGGAGTTATTGTGAGGATCAAATGAGATAATATTTGTAAAGTGGTCTGCAAACATAAATACTAGCCATCATCATTATCATCATCATCATCATCATCATCATCATCATCATCACTATTATTAGAGACCATTTGTTAGAGTACTCTTGATAATGAACAGAGTATTCAAAACCCATGACAACCTGCAATCTGCATGAGGAACTGAAAAGAAAATAATTTTGATGCTGACCTTTGAACTATCTTAAATCTATCACCTAAGAATTCCCTGTAATTTCAGAGAATTTGTAGAAAATGGGATTAGGAGCTTTGAAATTTCTTGTATGGAGTAAATATGATTTATAGTCCTATTCATTGTATTAGGTCCTTGATGATTCCTTTTTTTTTTAAACTAAAGAGTTTTGGGACTGCATCCTTTCTTCCAAGCCCCTCATTTTATGGAGAAGGAAAATGAAACCCAGAAAGTTGATATAACTTGGTCATACATTCCTGCTTCTGCCACTTAGTTGTGTGACCTGAGGCAAGTTACATCACCTCTCAGCTTCAGTTTGAGTGAACCTATTAAACAGTCTGAACATGCTACTTCATTTAGTTTTATGGTTCCTATCAAATTGTCTTCCTTTTTCCCCTGCCCCCATCTCATTTCTAAACAAGGGTCTGTTAGGGAACAAGATCTTGGCTTCTATTTATTATAGCTTCACTCATTTCATGCATGACCTTTAACAAATTAGTGGAGACTCTGAACTGAGCGACACTTCTTCTCCATGTTGCCCTATGTGTCTTTTACTCCTCTTCCTCTTCGTGGTGATTGAGGAGGAGAGAATAAGGGAAATGGGTATCAGAGTCCCCAGAGCAGGTTAAAGAAAAGCTAAAATGGGGTCTGGCCAAACTGACTGACTTTTTAAGAGATACTTCCTTGCTGCTCATGACAGCTCCATGCTTCTGGAACAGACAAACAGAGAGCCAACCTTGTAACTATTCCTTTATTCCCTTTGGCCTTTCTACCTCTTGCTTCCTAACTATGGACAAGTGCCAAGGTTCAATCCTTAGCCTTCTGCCCTTCCCTATTTATACTTATCTCCCTCAGAGCTCAGCTAGTCTCATGGTTTCAGCTGTTGCCTCTGTGCTTATGACTCTTAGATAGTCATCTCCAAAGCTACTCTTTGCCAGGCTCCAGCTTGGCTCTCTAATGGTCTATTGAACATCTAAGTGATTCCAGTCATCACCCCAAGCTTAACATGTCCAAAGCTGAATTCATATATACTCTTCACTCCAAGCAACATTCTTCTTCCCTTCCTGAGTTCATCTAATTTCTCTCCTAGTGACACTATCATTTCCCCAGAAATAGGCTCAAAACTTTAGAGTTATCTTTGACTTATTCTTTCTTTTCATCCCTCATATTAAATAACTCATCAAATCCTGTTGAATTTTCCTTCAGTGCATGTCTTTTCAATGTGTATCTATTCCTTCTCCTCCGGCTGAAACCTCCTGTACGTGCTCTTTCTCCCATTAGAATATGAGCTCCTTGAGAGAATGGCTTTCTGGGTTTTTAACTAGTATCCTCAGTACTTAGCACAGGGCTTTGCACGTGGTAAGGGCTTAGCAAATGCTTTCCCACTCATTCTTCATTTATTCCACTCCATTCCCATGGACACCTCCTAGATCCAAGTGTTCATTACCTCATACCTTTCAGATTCCAGTTTTCTTCCTCCAGTGAATCCTTTATAACATTCCTGGATGGATCTTCCCCAAATACTGCCTTTTTCATGACCTAGCTGACTCAAAAACCTTAATTGATTTCTTTCTTTCAAGGCCTTGTTTAAGTCCCACCTTCCCCAGATATCTAAATCCACATGATTTAAGACTTAATTGTGTACTATCTAGAATTGTTGACTCAGTTTCTTGTTTGTGGGTCTGGTCTCCTGGAACTAGAATGTAAACTCGAGTCTTCTGACTCCTGGCCCAGCATTCTATTCATTGTGACCATATAGCTGCTTCATTTAGTACCCAAAGGTATTATCTTAGGGACAGAGTCAAACCACCAAGAGCCCTAGATTTCTGAGCCCTCCATCATTCTGGGCCTTAGGCATGCTTCTAATGTTGTACGGGATCTAGTTGATAGAACATCTCCATCATACCACAACTGAGGGTCAAGATGACAGTTACAAAAGTCTCGCCAGAATTCTCAAAGAGTTAAGTTCTTTTTAGATTCTAGAAAAAGGAAAAGGTTTGGGGCAGCTCTTTATGCTATAGCAAGGGTGATCCCGTCCCGATCTACAAGTATTTGTTAAGCACCTACTCTTAAAGCAGAGCTGCTGGGTAGGTATAGGGGATACAAATCAATCATTCAATCAACAAGAATTTACTAAGTGCCTACTCTGAACTAGGTATGGGAGAAGCAAAGAAAAAAAAGAATCAGCTTCTGCCTTCCAGAAGCTTACATTCTATACACTAATTGACTATATTGTGTCTCTGCTATTTTGAGATTCTATTGGACGAGGGGACTGAGTTTTCCCTCACAAATAAGCTAAATCACAATAGATTATGAATTTTTAGTTGGAGAATAGAGGAGATACAATGAAAAGACCTTATTTTCAAAGTTTGGATGATTTTTAAAAATTTTGTTTTGGACTAGTGATTTCATTGGTGTAACAAATTCCTAAGGAAAATCCCTCTATCATTGTAGATCAGCAGCTACTCTTCAATTTAATCTTAGAGTTATCTGGGTCACTGAGAAGTGAAGTGACTTGCTCACGGTCACACAGATATTATATTTCAGAGGTGGCTTTTGAGTGCAGGTCTTCTAGACTCTAAGGCCTGTTCTCTATTCAGAATACAATGCTGTGTCTCAGTCTGGCTATGCATACAGATTAATTATAACAATTATAGTATGGAGAATCATTGAGAAGTTACAGTGTTTTAAATTTGTTCTGCTAAAGTTTTGGTGGTGCTTCTTTAAAATACATGAGTATGATATTTTAGGTTCACCCAAATAACTCATTTGAATGATTGGATGTTAAGAGGCCAAGGAATCTGTTAGAAATTTAAATACTGAAGGCCGAGACTTCTGCTCCAAGTCTGGTTCCATCACCGATGTGTCTTTGTCTTTTATTCCCCACCTGAAAACTGAGAATGATTATACCATCCTGTACAGGAAGAACTTACTAGAAAATCATGCTGATCTCAAATTTCTCTTACATTATTGAGCCTCAGCATTGTCAGGAAGATTGTATCAAATACTTTGTTGTATAATGCAAAGAAGTGTTGAGAGACCTATGAAGTCTTTTTTTTTTTTATAATTTAAAAACAAATTATGTTCCATATGTGGTTATTTTCTCCTCTAGCCCAGAGATCTGCCCAAGAATTGCCTTTAGTGGAGAAACAAAGCACAGACAGCTATCCAGTGATTGGTGGGAAAAAAATGATATTGTCTGGTCACAACTTTCTGCAAGACTCAAAAGTAATTTTCGTGGAAAAAGCACCAGGTATTTTCTTTAAAAATAGCCTTGTGTTAGTTTTTCTGTTTTGGATGCTTGTGGAAATTTGATTCCTGGATGGGGAGAGTACAGACCTTCTAATTACATGTTGTCCTTCTGCATATATTTTTCAAGTAATGGGGTGGAGCTGTAGAGATGACCTACATAACAATACCATTTTGCATAATGTGTTTATATAGGCAGTTAAGAATTTTTGCATGGACTGACAATTATGGCATTTAAAGTAAGAGCTAAGAGTTTATTTTTATAGCCAGCTATGGTTTCTTCCTGACAGCTTTTATTGTCAATATCACAGGAACTCCCAAGGACTTTGTAATGTTTTATGAGGAAATAATTGAAAGTTTGTTTTCTTGTCTTTTGAGATGTATTTCTTAGTAATGTATGCAACTTTTGGTTTCCTCATGTCTGCCTCTGTGGCTTCATATAACAACACTTATCTGACTGCCTGGCTCCTATTTCTGAGATGTATTAACACATTCTCTTCCCTGGGTATTTTTCTCTGTATCACATTTTGGAAAGCACTGTTTAAATGTGCATTAAGACTTATGGGACATCCTGTAAGCATGTGTCTAAGTGTTTCTGTATATTTGTACACTTACATGTATGGACACATATATACATACATATAACTGTCTTGGTTCAGCTTTAAGGTTTAATAGCTTAAAACTGAGCCAAAGTTTTTGGGGCACCATGTATGTATAGATATATAGATATAATCCTAGGTCATAGAATTATCTATAATAGAAAGGAACTCAGCATTTATCTTTTCTAACTCCCTTTTATAGGTAAGGAAACTGAGGCAAAGTTGAGACTAGCATCCAGGTCTCCTGACTTTCTCAGTTTTGTTTTCTTTTCTTTTCTACTTTTTAAAAAAAATATTTTTAAAAATTTTATTTTTAATTTATGGAATAAAATGAACATTTCCATAGCACAGTACAATAAAAAGATGATTGTACATGAAACTTCAAATCTACTATGTACAGCTTGATATTCCTTTCAAATACATGATGTAATTATAAGTAAATTTCTTTTTTTCTCCCTTCCCCCCTCCTCACCCTATCTAGTACACCATGCTGCATCATGTTTTATGGGGTTCAGTTCCTTTTCCCATTTTTGTTAATGATCACTATATAAATTCATTGGCTCCCATCACTGGTGTGATGGATGTTTTATTTTTAGTAAAATCTTAAGAGACTGCACAGTCTTTTCATATATATGGCCTTTGTTAACCTTAGGTGTCTTTAGGCAGAATTCTAGAGACAATATCTCTTGTGTTCCACCTTCAGGGCTCCTCAGTGAATGCTTGCAATAGCCTGTGCGGAGTCACTTCTACACTATCATCATTTGCTAACTGTTTTCTGAGGTTTCAGTGGCCAGAACCCCACTTCGTTCCTGGCCTTGGCTGTTGTCTCAAATCCCCTGAAGATATTCTCTGTCAGTTACCCCTACAAATGTAGTTCCATTGGATATTATTCTGAACTTCATAGCATTTATATTGGGCCTACCAAAGCACTTTGCGTGCCAGAGGGTTCTAAGTAATTGTTGCTCATAGACTGATGATGGAAAGATTTTTTTTCTACTAATTTTCATTTCATTTCTTACAAATAAAATTGGATGTGAGTGTTGTGGATAGGAGCATTGTGATAAGTGAGGTAATGTATTGTATATTAAATTTGTATATTCAATTTGGATTTTCTGGCAAAACCAGCATATTATATATTCATAATACTTTTTTAAATAAGAAATAAAACAATGTCCTCTGAAAGACTGGAGCATGTAAGAATTAATTAGTTTTCTTTAAGATTTGAAATATGTCAAGAGAGTTTCTCAACTGGCAAAATTTCCCACCTGCCTATCAATATATCCCTGAACTTAATTGACTGTTTTGAACTTCTCTATTGTCTTCTCATATCCCTGTCATTCAAGAGCAGGATTTTCCAGTGCAGTCATTTCCTTCCAGGAGGCTCATATGATTTCAGAGGACTCAAGTCATTTTTATTGCAGTCAGAGTGGGATGTATGAGGTTTAGGGGTTAAGGGCTGTTATGCTGCCTTCTTTTTTTGTACATTTACCAATTGAAATGTTCTTGAAAGCAGAGCCAATCCAACACTTACTCTAATCAAGTGAAAACCACTGAGGCATTCAACCTTCATAATGGGATCCTTGATTTTGTACAATTTGCAGGAAACTTAAGTGCTTCAATCAAAATGTATTTGAAAGTCTCTAGTATTTAACTTGGCAAGTCTGTGCAATCAGGAACGTAATACAGGGGGTGGGGGCAAGTTTAAATTATAAAGAAAATTCAGCTAACAATAATGATAAAAATTTTTTTGCATTATTGGAAAACATTTTGAAAGGATTACTTTGGAAATTACTTAAATTTAAATTACAATTTAAAATACATGTATTTGTGAATATGAGAAGATATATCACCAGGAAGGAATTTAAAGGCAGTATTTAGATATCTCTTGTTACAAATTAGCTAAAATTACCCTTCAGGAATGACATTTTTGGTCGGGCTCTGTTTCAGAAAGAAAATTAATGCTCCCTTTATGGCTCTCCCTCACTATTTATGATTCTTAGGCCAGAAGAGTATGATATTTGTCTTCAAATATTTTAAGGGCTATTGGATGCAAGAGGGATTAAGCATATTCTATGTTGTTCCAATGGACAGAATTAAGACCAATGGGGAAAGGCAGAAATAGAGTGCTTACTGGGAGACAAGTTTTGGTTTAATATAGAGAAGAATTTGAACAATTGGTGCTGTTAAGAAAGAGAATTGGCTTCAGAGTGAGCTCCCTACCACTGGACATGTTCAAACTAAGGCTGAGATGTTAGAGAGGGAAGTTCTGTCTACAAGATTCAGTGGTTCTGTGAATATGCAGTTAGTCAGTCACCTGTAAATATTTTGACATAAGTAAGTGCAACTCACACTTGTTTTACAGTTTGCAAAGATCTTTCTTCATCATCTGAGGTAGATGGTTAAATGACTTGCTCATTGTGATACAGGTGGTATAGTAGTTGCCACTCAAACTCAGGTCTTTAGACTCAGTCCAATATTCTTTTTACTGCTCCACACTGCTTCCTCTATAAGAATTTAAATGTATCTAGTGGCCCTTCTAATAATATGTAGGCTCCAATAATATGTATCTAATAATATTTTTCAATTAATGCAGAACATAAAGGTAGCAAATATAAGAAATATAAATATACACTCAATAAGTAAACATATATTCAAACCAGGTATTGTGATTTCATATGAATTCACATTAATATTGAAGTCAAGTGGTTTATACATTCATATACATACAAGTATATACATGTAAATCATATGTTCACAAACAGGCATTTAGCTTAACAAATGCCTATGTAATTTTGTTCTTCCAGGTTTGCTTTCTTACATTTAATTTATCATTTACTGTATTTCCTAATACAACCTGAAATGTTATTGTAACCAAACACCCTGTGTCATTAGCTTATGAAAAGTTTTTCTTTTCTAGTTCTTTTTCAGAAAAACCACTTAAATTGATTTAAATTCAAAACTCTACAGTACCAGCTACCCTTTAGGCTTTCTATGAGATCATCTGGCTTTTTTCTCTGCCCTGGTCGTGTGTGATGTGTGACACGTGTTTGTGTGTGTGTGTGTGTGTGTGTGTTTTAAAACACCACTTACAAGTACAACCAGGATAGGAATTGGAGCCAGTGTGAAGTAGCCTTCTACAAAGTTTAGATTATTTCATTTAGGCAATTCATATTGGCCTAGCCATGAAGATTCTTCCTTACTCCTCCATCCTCAGACTCTAAGGGCAGCCACTAATTGTGTAAAATTAGAGCTATTATAAATGTCAAAAATGTTAAAAAAAGAACAGCTATGGACTGTATCATAGAACTACACTTTCTATCATTCTTATTTTTCTTTTCTGTATCACACTTGGGAAAACAACTTCAGATGAGACTTAATATAATTCAGGGTGCCTCTTGTGTTTTTTACATTTGTATATCTGTTGTTCTCAGAGATTCATTTCACTTTTAAAGCACCTCTATGCTGAACATACTCTAATTTCCTTTAAGTTTTTTTCCTAATAGAAGGCTTATGCTTTCTCTCTCTGTCTCCCTGTCTCTGTCTGTCTCTCTGTCTGTCTGTTTCTCTTCCTCTCTCTCTCTCTCTCTGTGTGTCTCTCTGTCTCTGTCTCTGTGTCTCTATCTCTCTCTGTCTCTCTGTCTCTGTCTCTCTCTCTCTCGTCTTCAAGGGCTAGTCCTTAGCGCTCATAATCTCTTGAGAAATGACATTATCTTGGCCTCCTTGCATGCAGTCTGTCTGTTCTATCAGTGACTCATGCAAAAGGGAATCCCTGAAGAATGATCATGCTGGTGCAGAGAGACAACAGAGCTGTAGTTTTCGTTTAACCCCTTAGTCGCTCAATTAGGCTACAGAAAAAAAGTAAAACTTTGATAGACCATTAAATATTAACCATCCTGGTGGGATTTCTGTGCAGAATTTGAGAAAAGAAGTTGTTAGCTGAGGGAGAGTAGCTGGGTGAAGTGGTATTGTGAGAAAAGTGTCACAAAGGACTTGTTTAAACTGGTATTTGTTTGTAATATATTCCCCAGTCTCTAGGGTAGATAAATAATGGGGCTTTTCAGAAGAGCAGTATAATTTTTTTTAGATCTTTCACAGTGTTATAAAAAAATTCAAGTGTTGAAATAAGTCATTATTTCAAGGGATTTAGGTCAATGCTTTGCGGCTTGTACATTAGACCATATTTTCTAGTGATGAAAGACAGTGTAAAACGGTCATCCAAGAACCAGAGCTACATGAGAAGGGACATGCATGGCAGCTATACTCCAAGAGGTTTGACCTGTCAGACTCAGGCTGCTCTTACATCATTGGCATCCACCCTGTTTTGCCTATTACAGGCTCTCATTTGTGAGACGTTAAGCATCAGTGGGGCTTATTCCCTCTCTTACTGTTCATTCAAGATCTTCTA